GGTTTTTTTCATTCCTCTCTGGTGGGGGGTTTTGGTTTTGTTTTTTTTTTTTATTGACATTTCTTGCTGGTTGTTTTTTGGGAAGTGTTGAAACCCAAAACCTGTGCCCCCCACCCCCGCCCCCTGTCCCGCACAGAGAGGTGGCTCTTTGTGGAATTCCTTTTTGTATCAGAAGCAACAGCAACAATAAAATTATTTTGGGTTAAGAGGGTCTGTGTCTTCCTCCTCGTCTGGGCGCAGCATCTTCTGGGGCTGGGGGTGGTGGGGAGGAGCATTCCCAGCCTGGGAACTGGGCTGGACCCATCCAAGCTCCAGCTCGAGTGAGCCCAGGCTGGTTTCTTGCCCCTGCTTCTCAGGGACAGATTTTCACTCTTGCACCTTCACCCAGCTCTTCCAGCCCTGCCTGTCTCAGCACCTATTGCGGTCCTTCCTAAAGCCTCAGATCTTCTGCAGATCACAGACCCACAGAATGGTTTGGGTTGGAAGGGAACTTAAAGCCCACCCAGTCGCAACCCCTACCTTGGGCAGGGACACCTCCCACCAGACCACGTTGCTCCAAGCTCCAGGGATTGAGCAGCCACAGCTTCTCTGGGCAACCTGGGCCAGGCTCTCACCACCCTCACACCAAACAAGTTCTTCCCCACAGCTCAGCTCCATCTCCCCTCTTTCAGTGTCAAACCCTTCCCCCTCCTCCTAGGACTCCCCTCCCTCATCCAGAGTCCTTCCCCATCTCTACTGGAGCCCCTTGAGGGACTGGAAGGGGCTCGAAGGTCTCCCCGGAGCCTTCTCTTCTCCAGGCTGAACCCCCCCAACTCTCTCAGCCCCCCCTCCCAGCAGAGGGGCTCCAGCCCTCCCAGCATCTCCTTGGCCTCCTCTGGCCCCACTCCAACAGATCCATGTCCTTCCTGTGCTGAGATGAGGGAGGAAGAACAGCTATATCAGCAAAATCTCTCTTGATCCTTTGCTGATGAGAGGAGGGGAAGGAGGGCAGTGCCAGAGGTCTGAGCCTGGAGCCAGGATCGCTGAGCCCAGCCCAGGGGTGGCTGCCCCCATCTTTGCTGCCGGGCTGGGGAGATGCTCCAGGGGCCAGGACAGGGATGGGGGGGGTAGGCACAAAAAGGGCTGGTTGAGAGGAGATGGGATGTGGGAGAGCAAAGGCAAACCCACTGCTAGCACCCATCCTGCCTGGTGCCTTGGTCAGGGAAGGTGCTGCCTGAGCTGTGATCACCCTTGGTTCATCCACGTTGGAGGAGCCGCCCTAGTCTTGGTGTTTGCTGGTGGTTTTGCCGAGCTGTGGTGGGCCCGAGCAGAGGATGCACTTGTGCAGTGACCGGTATGTGCAGGGTGTGTGATGATACACCAGAGATCATGCCCCGTGTCCAGGCGTCAGGGTCCAGCCCACCGAGTTCCACTCAAACCCTTCTTCCAGGTTAATAATTCTCATTTTCAGCAAGCTCTTCTCAGCCTCCCATTCCGGAGGCTGAGCCCTGTGCCACAAGAGGGCAGGCAGGACTGCAGCATCCCTGCCACTGGGAGGGAGCCCAGGAGCTGGCTGGGTGGTGGGAGAGCAGGGGATGGGTTGGGGGGGGACAACCACCTGGGCAAAGGAGACCATGGTCCCAAGCTCAGCCAGCTGGAAACTGTCCCACCAACACCTCCCTGGGCTTGGTGGTAGGTGAGTGGTGTTCGACCTGTGTCAGGTGGTGGGACCAGGGGCAGAGGAGGTGTAGAAATGGGGTGTGCTGGGCCTGGGTACCCAGGTCATGCCAGTCACTGCTCTGCAGCACCCAGCAGGGACTCCCTGCTCTTCCTCCACATCACCCATGCGACCCCGGGGACTTCTCCAGGGATGGCCTGTACCCACACATCCAGAAGGTCTCCCTGGGTGCAGCAGATCCTACCAGGCTGCTGCCCGCTGTGCCAGACCCAGACTGATGCAGAAGAAATGGCCAGGCACAACCCATGGATCCTGCAGCCAACGTGACTGGGCTGTGACCATCCCTGTCCAACAACACTGCCCCAGGGCCAGGCTTTGGCCAAGGAGCACCTTCTGCACATCCCTGAAAGCACATGGGGCACCCACAGCGCTGTGGCTGGGTGGTGATGCTCCCGTCCCCCATGGCACCCATCCCCTGTGGAGCAGCTCCAGCTTCTGCTGGGAGATGCAGGGTCTTGGCTCAGAGAGAGGTGAGGGAGCCCCACCACTGCTCAGGGAGCAGCTGGTCCTCCCAGAGCCTGCCAGGACACGTCAAAGAGCAGAGGACAAGCCGTGTGGGGTCAGCACAGTGCAGCTTTATTTCCACGGTGGGGGAAGAGGTTGTCCCCCACGGGCTCAAATCCCTTAGTACAAACCTTCTCAGTGGCCCACAGCCATAACCCACCATGGTTTTTGCTAGCCCTGTGGCTAGCTGCAGCATCCCCTACTCAACAGGCATGGGTCCCGCAAAGGGGCAGCCTCTGTTTGCCCCTCGGCTACTTAACACAGCCCTTCTGATAGCCAGATGCAAGATGGCCAACCCCAGCAGCCCCCTGGATGTGGGGAGGCCACTCAGATCCTGCCGGAGCAGGGACTGGCCAGGGTGGGATGCCGGTGGGAGGCTGCCAGGCTTGGGCTGGCTGAGGAGCATCTCCCAGGTGTCATGGGGGGACCTTTGGGTCCCTTCTGGGCTCCCAGCAGGGGCCACCCAGGCAGGTCTGCTGCCATGACCATTCTCACCAGCTGGGCAGGGACAGGTCACTACGGTGTGAAGCGGAGAGCAGGCTGCAGGGCTGGACGCCGAAAGGGGGCTGCGCGTGGTGGGTGTGTGTGGGGGGGGTGTCTCCATCTCCCCCCCTTCACTTGCAGCTGGGGTGGGGGGCACTTGGGACTGCCACACAGAGAAGAACAAAGCCAGCACTTGGGTCTGGTGCCTATAAACCCCCTGACAGACACAGCTCAGCTACAGGGACACATGGACACACGCACTGGACCACGGTCAGCACTCCCCAGAGGACACAGACAAGGGCGACGTGGGGGGCAGGAGGAGGTGGGGGTCCAAGCTCTGGCCTGGCACCAGGCAGAGCCACCCGGAGCGGGAGCCCTGTGGGCCGTGGCTGAGGGCAGGTCCCGCCATGCCCTGCCCCATCGCCTCCTGCCCCTCACCGCGGCGCGCGACGCTGCCCGGGGCCACGTTGGGCAGCAGGGACCAGGCGGCCTCACATCACCCCTTCTCCAACACACCTCTCCAAGAGTCCCGCAGACTGCAAAGAGAACTGAAAAGTGCTTAGAAAAGAGAGAAACCCCTAGAAAACCCACCCCGGATGAGAGCCCAACCTCACCTCCCTGCCCAGAGCATCTCTGCTGGCCGGGGGCAACACCACAGAGGAAGGGGGGGCCGGGGCCGGGGCCAGCTGGGGTGGGAGGCACACGGAGCACCCAGGCTCGCCCCATCCCTGCCCTCTACACCAAGGCGTAGTCAAACTGGCCCCTCTCCAACCCCTCCTTGTGGTCGGTCCAGGAGGAGGCGGGCATGCGGCTGTAGGGGTCCAGCAGGATGCGGAAGCAGCGCACCATCAGCATCACCAAGAAGACCAGGAGGAAGATGACAAAGGCAAAGACGGTTTTCTGCTCGGCGTCCATACCCGCGGCGCCGGCTGGGTGCTCCACCAAGGAAGGGGAGAGCAGTTCATAATCCATCGTCGATGCATCATTCATGGCAGAGGCGAGGAGCGCGTGAGCAGGGCGCATTCGGCCGCCCCGGTGGCCAGGCCCTCAGCTTCAGCCTCCTGCTGGCACGTCACTCCATGGCCACCAACGCCACCACGCAGAGCCTGAGGTTCACTCCTGCCCGGGCCAAGAGCTCCTGGAGGGAAAAGCAGAGATGGTGAGGGAGGAGGAATGGGCTACGGGCTGCAGCAATGCTGAGAAATAACCAGGGGCAGAAAAGAGCAGGGAACTTCACCAGTAGGTCCTTTCCCTTGGAACTTCACAAATGGCCCAAGAAGCCACAAGGGGCACAAAGGCATGGGACGGGTGGGAATTCTAGGGCACTGGTGCAGAGCTTGCCTCTCCGGTCATAAATCCCCAGCAATCCCCTGGAGAGGGTGTCCCCCTGCCAAGCCCTAGTGCTGCAAGACCCTTTTGGACCAGGAAAATTCACACTGAAAAGGACCTCAGCTGAGGCTTCAGTGCAGGCTGCTCAGGGCTTCAAGACTCTTGTCTTGAAGTTCTCCCAAGATGGACACAAGCTTAGAGTTTGCCTGCTCCCATTGTGTTTCCCTCAGCACAATGACTCCTTCGGGCTTGCACCAGGTCTAGAAGGAACTGAGCCTTGATGGAGAAGGAGGGCACCTACCTCACTGCAGCTGCGAGGGGACACTAGCATTGCTACTGCAGCAGAAGGAGGAGAAGGCTGTGTCCAAACAGCCGCATCACTGTGGAAAGGTCTCCAGGGTCCAGCTTTCTTGGGCTAGAGATGTGAAGCAGAAGGACAAAGAGAGCACAAGAAGTTAGAAGGACCACAGTCATTAAGAGTCATAGTAAAACACCACAAGGCACCTCTGAAGTTCTCGGTGTCTCTTGTCAGACCAGCACTGGATGGAGCTCACCTCGGGGAACATCCACACTGACTTCCCCTTGCAGCATCCTGGAGCCTGAGTGCCCCCAGTGCTCTGGAGACTAAAACCCAAACCAAACCAAAAACAACCCACTGGTAGATATCAGGAAACCACCAGATCATCTCCTGCCCTCCCAGGCAGCAAGACCATCCCTGGCTGGGAGCAATGACAGTGGGAAAGTGAAAGGCAGAGCCCAGTCCCAAGGCCAAGGCTCCCAGACGGAGACCAGAGCAGGTTCCTCACAGCTCTGACCCATGCTGGGGACCTGCTCACTTTCCTTTATCTGCAGCTTCTGAGACACAGTGAGGAACGGTCCTTGCAGGCTTTAAAAATAATTTCATATAACAGCAGCAAAATAAAGGGCATGAGCAGCAACAGGGTGAGCACAGCTCCTCTCTGGCTTTTCACCCCAGCTCTTTGGTTCTCTCCTTCCCAGACACGTCTCACATGTCTAGACCAGACACGGGGTGTTCTCTGGAGAGCTGTCTGGGCTGCACTGGTCAATCCAGCCCCTCTCTCCCCTGGGATAAAATGCCACCATGGGGGTGGCCGACCCTCAGCTGGCATCCCTGCAGCAACATTTGGCCAGGGAATCTCTGAATCCTCCAAACACTGAGCATCCCAAAACAGTCCACTCATTCCAGCTTCCCAGTGACCTGCTGAGGCTCCAGGTGTCCTTGGGGCCTGAGCCGGGGGGCTTTGCCCTGGTTTGTCATAGTTACCCTCTTGCAGGGAGGGACCCAGTGCAGCCCCACAAGGGGGAACTGGACCTACATCCCATGGCACGTTAAGAGGACATTGGCCACCCCTAGTGTGACTCCATCCACAAGCCCCTCAGACTGTCCAGCTTCCATCGTGCTGGGGTTCATCTATCCATGCCTTATATCCACTACCAAGCACGGGATGCAAGGGTAACTCAAAAAAGGTTCCCATGGAACAGGTACCACATCATAGAATCATTTAGGTTGGAAAAGACCTTTAAGATCATCGAGTGACACCATAAACCCAACATTGCCAAGTCCACCACTAAACTAAGTCCACTCAGCACCATGTCTGCCCATCTTTCAAATACCTCCAGGGATAGCACTTCCTCTGGGCAGCCTCTTTCAATGCTTGATCCTAATATCCTAAACCTCCCCCAGGGCAATTTGAGGGAGGGCAGGAGGACGGGGATGAGTGAACAGCACTTGAGGAGCTTCCACCTGGGCAGAGAGTTGTTGGGTCTCCCCTGCCCAGCCAGTGGGTGATGGCTCCATGTGGTCCCATCTAGGGGAGGAATATCCACCCATGGAGGAGCATTGATGGGACAGAACATCTTCCTCCTCTCCATAAAGGTCTCTGGGGACAGGCTCTACCGTCTCCATCTCCTTGTGGAGCTTCTGGTGCCCTGGGAGCTCTCAGGAATCTGCTGGGCTTTGTGAGCACTGCATTGCTGGGGCACCACTGCCTCTCTGCTGCACTTCTCCAGGCTCTGGGGCAAATCACTCTTCCCACGGACACACCTGGGTTAAGAAAATCCCCCTTCATGATCCTCAGTGCCAGAGACACTCAGGACAGGCCCTGCTGCAACACAAGTGACCCAAGCACAAATCATGTATCTGGAGATGCCCAACTGACTCACGTGAAAAGCACAAGCAGGAAGAGGCACATTCAGGACAAAATACAACATTTTCTACTGAACAGTATCCCTGGCATTATTTCCTGTAGTATTCAGGATAAAGGATTTCCCTCTCATTTGGGATGTGTTGCTTTTTCATTACCGGGTGAAGAATCAGATCTTAATTTCCCGGGAATTTTGAGCAGAGCAAAAAAAAAAGCCAAAAACCTCACGGATGAGACAGTTAAATGAAGGCAGCTGTTATTTAAGGAACATTTGATTGAGTTTTATTAAGATTCATGTTCCCTTAGTAACTAAAAAGAATACGCGAGCAAGGAAATTGCTTAATAGGGAGAGAACTCACAAAGGAAGAGGATCGCAGTGCTGAGATTCTTCTGGGTATGAAACACAAATTAAATGTTAATTTGGGAATGGCAGAGATCTAATGAGATTTTTATTTAAAAAGAGGTAGGGAGCGGTGTTTACCGATGCAGGATGCCATCTGGTAGTGAGGGCTCACCCTTCCCACTGCAGACATCTCCAAACTGGGGATCTGAGTGGGCAGGGAGTGGGGTTATGGGCTCTTACTGGGGATGGGGCTGCTCAGTGCTGGTGTGACTTAGCCCATGCTCTGGACTACACCCAGACACTCCTGGTAATGCCAGTTTCTTCCACCTTTTCAGTGCTTGCAGGTTTTTGTCCAGGAGACAAGATCTAGAGACAGATATGGGATGGGAAAGCACAAGAGCCTGGGGAAGAGAAGGCTCTGGGGAGACAGGGACAGGGGTAATGGCTTTAAACTAAAAGAGGGGAGATTCAGACTGGATCTAAGGAAGAAATTTTTTTATGCTGAGGGTGGTGAGACCTGAGCCCAGGTTGCCCAGAGAAGCTGTGGCTGCCCCATCCCTGGAGGGGTTCAAGGGCAGGTTGGAGGGGGCTTGGAGCAACCTGGTCTGGTGGGAGGTGTCCCTGCCCAGGGCAGGGGGTGGCACTGGGGGGGCTTTAACATCCCTTCCCACCTAAACTACTCTGTGATTCCAAGCGTTCAAAGCAGAATCAGAGCCTAATTAAGGAAAGCAGCTGGAGAAAGTCTTGTATGTCAGCCAGAAAGCAATTTCTGGATACTAACACTTCAGGTGTTGCTTCCTTCCAATTTCCAGTGGAACAATCTCGCTCAAAAAAAAAATATCTCTTCCTCCTTCAAACAGTTTAGTCCCACCAGCAAACAAAAGAAGAAGCCCTGGCACAGCCCTGCTTTGCTCGGTGTTGGTGCCCAGTCCGTGCTAGTGTGGAGGGGACAGGGAGAGGGGACCCCAGCTCTGGACCCGGGGTCTGATCCAGACAAGAACCCCCTCAAGTCACGGGGAAATTTGGGTGCTGGGAGGTTAAGTCAGCAACACCCAGCACTGAAAGGTGTGTGTTTTATCAGCAGGAATTGACACAGATACCCCCCACCCAGTGATTTGCACAATAAAGCAGAATTGCACCAGAAAGGCTTGATCTGCTCAAAGGATCGAACTGGAAGAAGACAGATCTTGAGCCAGAGCGGAGCAGGGTTTAATTGCACAGTGTCATGGATGCAGTCCAACAACTAGGGAAATTACTCGGTTTACTCACTTTTAAATATACCCAAATTAGTACTTTTATAACCAAAAATAGACATTCCCAATTACATAACAGTGAGAAACGAGACTAATGTCTTACAAGGAGAAAGCAGAGCTGGTTTTGATGGAGGAGAGCTGGGAGGGGCTGAAAATGCTTAAATCCAAATGAAGCTTTTCCAGGGAGGAGAATAAAAATGACTGCACGCAGAATAAGAAACTGGAGCAAATTCATTAGGACAGTGCTAAAGAATAACCCCACTTTGGAAAGCACAACCCAACTGTTGCTTCCCATTATGGATTGATTCGAAACCTGAAGGAGAAAAAAGAAAAAATCCCAAAGAAAGATGCTTCCAGGCTCCCGGGAGCATCTAACAGAGATGGTTTTGTGGCCAAAACCAGCAGGGCAGGGGAGAGAGAGGCACCAGCTCCAGCAGAAGGCTCTGGCAAAGGGCTGAGAGAACTTCTGCTGGTCGGGGAGGAGATCAAGGTGGGGTCCCGCAGGACCCAGCTCCGGGTGCTCCCCTGGGTCAATATTCACCGCGTGGCTGCTCATGGTGCACAACAGCCTGTTGCAACCAGACAGCAAACACCATCGCCGGGGAGATCTGAGAGCAATCACCCTTGCCAGGACAGCAGACAAACCGCTTTCCACCCAAGCAGGAGGAATCTCTAGGAGCGGAGTTCCTGAGGGATAGGGAAAGGCTTTACTTGCAGGTTGAGTGATGCTCCGTCCGTCCTTCCCCCAAGGGTCCGTCCGTCCTTGGCGGCTCCGCTCGTTCCCTGTGGGGACGGAGGCAGCAGGATGCCTTTCTGGGATGTGCAGCCTCGTGTTTGGCACGGCGAGGTGGAGCTGACGAAGCAGCTGAATTCTCCACGGGGTTTGCATTGCCTTTTTCAGTAAACGTTGCCGTGGGGTCAAAGGAAGGGGTCCCGCTGGGTTACGGCGCGGCTGCCAGAGCAACCACAACCACAGGCTCTGCCCCGGGAAGATGAACTTCCCACGGGATGCAGACCCCCGGATCTTGGGGGACACACACACACCCTGTGTCCCCAGAGGTATTTCTGCCCCAGATAAAAGCAGGTTGTGGACCTCAGGCTGGCAGATGCTGAGAACACGGGGCCGTGTTCCTCAGCTGCTTTGCGGGATGGACCTGGGAGCAAACAGGGCTGGGACTATCCAGATGTATTTCCATCTTCTCTTCCTGTGCATCCCGGAGCCAAACTGCCACATTGTCCCTGGAAATCTGCTCCTGTCGCCACCGTATGCTGACGCAGGGACCATCTCTTCCTTCCCTCCTCAGCAGAGACAGGCCCGGCAGGAGCAAAGTTGTTTCCCATTTCAGGGATCCAGTCTGCTGGGACATCCCCTTCTCACCTTTTCCTCTTACTGCTTCATGGAGACACCCCAGCATTAACCCCAGCACCCTCCACTGAATGTCCCTGGGGGGGGGAGACCCTCCTGTCCCCACTGAGGTGGGTGCATTCGCTGTACAGACCCGGGAAGGATGCTGAGACCCACCCACCTTCAACTTGGCCGTGTCTGAACCATCTACAGGTGTCCCACCCTGGCCCTACCAGCAAACACCAGGCAGCTGCCCAGGGACAGGCAGTGCCAAGGTACCACAGTCCAGGTCTGGGATTCCTGTCTATTAACACTTCATACCTACAGCAGGTCCTGGAGGGTCCTTCATGAACCCTCTCCACCCTGTCAGGGCTCAGCATGTGGACAGACAAGGACATATGGGGCCCAGGAGACATCCCGCCATGGGTCTGCCCTACCAGCAAACACCAGGCAGCTGCCCAGGGACAGGCAGTGCCAAGGTACCACAGTCCAGGTCTGGGATTCCTGTCTGTTAACACTTCATACCTACAGCAGGTCCTGGAGGGTCCTTCATGAACCCTCTCCACCCTGTCAGGGCTCAGCATGTGGACAGACAAGGACATATGGGGCCCAGGAGACATCCCGCCATGGGTCTGGACCAGCCACCAGGACTCATGAAAGATCCCAGGTCTCAGCAGGATCCCCCAGTTGGTCTGATGTAGACAGATGTCCCCTCATGCTCTAAAGCTCAAAACATCTCTCTTCTTTCCACCACAAGGAATGGCAGGACAGGCTGGGACCCCAGCCCAGCACATCCGTACCCCAAACCCTGATGTAAAACCAGCCCACGGCTAACAGGGAGGCCACCTTCTCCACCACTGCTTCTCCAAACCCCTCCAGCCACCACGGAGGGGCTCTCCCAGCAAGGCTGTTCTGCTGGGCAGGACTGAAGTCACATCAGTGGAAGATGAGCAGACCATGGACACGGAGGGGAGCACCAACCAGCTCAGGCCGTGGCAGGAACACAAGAAACTGAGCGTGAGGGATGTCCCATCCACTTTTTTTGCAAGAGAAAGGGGCAACCCTTCAGCTAAGGGGGAGGTTTAGCCCATCCCCAGCCAAGCAGAGATGCTTGACCCCAGAACCCACGCTCTGTGATTTCTGGTTCCCCAGGGACAACCTGCAGCACAGTCTCCATGTGCCTCTTCTCCATGGTCATCACAGCACACATGGAAAACCCACCACTGCCAAACCAAGCCCCTCGGGAAGAAGATGACACCCCCCCGCCCAGGAAAGGTTGCTCCCAACCATCCCACCCCAGATGCCCAACCTCCAGCCAGACTTGACCATCAGAAGATATCACTGCCGAACCAAGCCCCTCGGGAAGAAGATGACACCCCCCCACCCAGGAAAGGTTGCTCCCAACCATCCCACCCCAGAAGCCCAACCTCCAGCCAGACTTGACAACCACCATCAGAAGATACACTAGACCCCAGCACCAAATAACCAGCCCCATCTCCTGATCCCACCACCACGAAGGGTGAGGGGGTCCCTGGCAGCCGAGCACAGAGGGAATTACTCCCCCCTCGCACCCCCCAGCTCCGCTCCCCACAGCGTGGGTGCTGAGGAGGGGATGGGGCAGGGATGGTACCTGGCTGCCATGGGCTCCTGGCTCCATCACTTGCCATCTCGAGGGAAGGAGCAGCCGTCTCTCTCCTGGAGAGCGCAGAGGGAAGGCAGCTGCTCCTCACTCACGCTGGAGCGGGTTCCTATGGCGATGCAGAATCAATTATAATAAAAGGTGGAGCACCAGCAATTGGAGACGAGAGAAGTTTCGTGAGCTGCCTGCCTGCCTGGAGAAGCCAGACCGTGGGAGAGCACAGGGCTGGGGGCTGAGCCTGCCCATCCCCAGGCTACAGCTCCTTGATCCCTGTTTTCCCCCACAAAAGCCCTTCCAATGCCCAAGACAACGTGCACCACTGCTCCTCCAAGACATCCAGGACCCCTCTCCTTCCACAGTGTGCCCATGTCTGTCCCAGATCCACAGCCCAGGTCCTGGCAGCCCGAGAAGCTCTGGAGCAAGCACAGCATCACTGCGGGGCAGTGACACCTTGGTCATCCAGGCCACTGCCTGTTGCACCCAGGACCAGTGACTGTGCATCAAAGAGATGCCAGGGTCACAGCTGGCCATGAAGATGTTCAAGGGACTGCAAAAACCTCACTCCAGCCCCATGTCTACCTTCCCACCCCAGGCTCAAGAAGCGGTCCAGCTTTCTGGGATGAAAAGAGCTTGCATGGAGTCATCCCCAGCTCACAGAGAAACGTGCCCAGGCTCTGGGAGCTCTCCAGGAACCTGACTACATGCCTGGACCTGGACCAGGAGCCCAGCACAACCCTGCTGCTCAGCAGTCCCACACAAGCTCCCAGAGGACGAGTGTGCGTCACTGGCTCTGGCTGCTGCCACCTCCCACCATCCTGCCCTCACCACCTTCATGAGCCAGATTCATTACCAGCAAATTCAAAGGATGCATGTTTTTCCGCTCTGGAAAAAGGCAACAGGAGCCTTGGACCCTGATGAGACGTAATTTGGAGGAAGAACTAGCACCAGGTAGTTGGTGACCATCACCAGCACAAACTGACCACGGGTTCGTTATCCACACCCAGCGTCCAGGGACATCCTCAAAGCTAAAAGATACTGCAATAACAGGGTCCTCATCCAGGTGCTCCAGGAGAGGGTCAGTGATTGAAAAATGACTTGCAAATAAATATACTCAGCCATGCTACCAAAACCCCCAAGCTCTTGGCACATCCTGGTTGTCTGAGCTTCCCCCAGGCCCCAGCAAGAAGGTGGTGGTGACCATTCACGGCCACTCCAGGAACATTTTCAGGTCAAGCCCTGGGAGCTGGATGCCCCTTTGAGCAGTTTCTCCCCTAAGCCATCACTGCTTTGGCCACATATGGCTCGTGGCACCTGCTGAACAGCAGATCATTGAACACCCAAATCCCCATGGAAGAGAGACCATAAGAAGGCTCAGATCCTGGTGTAGAGGACCCCCACAGGGACAGAGGCAGGTCAGAGGAGGAAGAGACTTCATGCACGGGAAACCAAAGGGGACACCCACTGCTGCCTGCTCTGGGACTCATCCCTCCTCATCCAGGTGCTCAGGAGGGGACAGAAAAGATTCCAGCTGGCTGTTGGAGGTACCTAGAAAAGGGGCTTAGATGCCAAGGCTGCATGTAGCTGCCAGGAGCTGATGCAATCCCTCCCCACGGTGCTTCCCCTTTACCATCTCAGCAATTTCCCCAGCACAAAAACTCATCCTGCAAAAAATTAATCATGAAACCATAAAAGCAAACTCCTCTATGTGTGCTAACAGTACCAGAGGAGCATAATTGTGATCCCCAGCCCCTTCGGCACCGTGCAGCATTCCCCCTTCCTACAATGAGGTGATTCATTGTAAATATCTGGAAATAACCACCCAATTTCCTGGGTGATGTATCTTAGCCACTAATTGAAATGGTTTTTCTGAAAGGTGCCTACAGAGAGCACTCTCACGCTTAATCAGAGCAGGGAACGTTCACTGCCTGGGGCAAAGGGGAGACGGGGCATATTAGTGGCCTCCCTGCAAAATTAATATTGCTTTGCTAGTCATCTGTCCTCTGGCAGGACTGGGAGAGCGTGAACCAGCAGCTCCCACGGGCCTCACACCCACGGGAAGAGGCACAGGAGCCTTTTGTGCTCTCTGGTTGCGCTGGTTGTGGAGCTCTGTCCCCTGCAAGTCACAGGACCCACTGGTGTCAAGGGTTCTCGCAGCCCTCCTGATGTACCCACCAGCAGAACATCCTCCATGCAGGCCACCCCAACCCACCTCAGCCCAGTATAGCCCAGTCCAGCCCAGTCAAGACCCGTCTAACCCTCCCTTTGGCCCTACAGCTATGGTTTTTGTGTCTCATGCACCACGATGAGAAGAGTAATCTTGCTATGGCCTGAAGATCACAGGTCCTGGCCAAGATGAGACCTCTAAGGTGGTCACACACCAGCAGTGTCCAAACTCACAACAGCAGCTGGTCCTTGAGATGATGGCAGGAGTTTTCATCGTTCCCAGCTGTTGCTTGTTTTTCTGACACAAATTTCTGTGGGCTTCCCTGTGGCTCATTAACCCACCACCCCATCCCTCTCCTGTGTCTTTCCTGGTCATCCTTTCCGTGTTGGGTCATGAGGACAAGGGAGCACAAACCAACCCCTCTCTGGGTGCCCAGGCAGTTTCCATGTTTTCTGTGAAGGTCTGCTCCACCCTTTGTTCCTGTTTCTAACACAGATCTGTGGACAGGGGTCCTCAATGCCTTCCCCCTCCCTCAGAAGCTGGATGCACCGCACAGAGCTGCTGTGGACACCCAGGCTGCAGCTAGAGAGGAGCATCCTGTGCTCCAGGGCATCCTCTGTCCTTCTGTCCCATGCCCCAGGGCATCATCTGTCCTTCTGCTCCCCTGTCAGACTGTGACAGCAGCTCTGCTCTGTGGTGGAGACTGTGGCTGCA